CACACACACACAGACACACACACACAGACACACACGCACACGCACACACACGCACACGCACACAGACACACACACGCACACACACACAGACACACACACGCACACAGACACACACACACACACACACACGCACACACAGACACACACACACACAGACACACACGCACACGCACACACACGCACACGCACACAGACACACACACGCACACACACACAGAGACACACACATGCACACAGACACACACACACACGCACACACACACACACACAGACACACACACGCACACACACACACACACACACACATGCACACAGACACACACACACACGCACACACACACACACACAGACACACACACGCACACACACACACACACACACACATGCACNGCTTGCTGAGCAGAGAGAAAAGAGGCAGAAAACACACACACACAGACACACACACACACACGCACACACAGACACACACACACACAGACACACACGCACACGCACACACACGCACACGCACACAGACACACACACGCACACACACACAGAGACACACACATGCACACAGACACACACACACACGCACACACACACACACACAGACACACACACGCACACACACGCAAAGCGAACCCTCACCCAGACAACACGTGCCAAGGACATTCTAAGTTCTACTTTACGTGGATGGACTTATTCTATCGTTACTGAAAACCCAGGAGGTGGGAGCATTCACCTATTTTTACAGATGAGGAAACTGAGGCCCAAGCCTGGATTAGCTTCAGTAGCGCTCAAAAAAAAAAATTTTTTTTAAAGCCAAGGTTGGCTGGTTAGCTCAGTTGGTAGAAAAAAATAGAAAAAGCCAATTGGCAAAGTCGAGTGACCAGCTTGTCCTGGCTTGCTGGGGACTTTTCTGGATTTAGCACTGAAAGTCTCACGACCCAGGGACCCCTCTGTCTGGGGAAAACCAGGACGGTGGGTCACCCTATGGCAAAGAGAGCAGGGACTTGACTCCTGGAGCTGACAACGGACAAGAGAAAAACACTTTCTCAGAGCCTTTCTGGAAAGGACTGTCTCTTTGCCCAGGGGTCCTTGTTCTAGGGGACACAAAGCTGGGTGTGGGACAGGGGACTGAACAGCAGCCCTCAGGAAGGGCTCATGGGAAAGGGGGACCCCATCTGTACTCACAGGCAGCAGGTTAGCGAATGCCTGACATTAATTCAGGTTGTGGCCAAAAGGCTTCTCTTGGCACTCAGGGCCGTGATGGAATTTGCAGGGCCCCTTGCTCAAATGTATTAGGAATCTCAAGAGTCACAGCAGTGCCTTAAACTAAGACAGGGCCCTTCTGGGGTGGGGGGTGGGGGAGCAGCCCCCAAGCGAGCCCCACTTGGTAAATGCCTCCTCGGGAATCACCTTCAAAGGTCTCATTATTGGCAATAAGACGCAGAGCTTGAACCTTCAGCAAAACCCGGAGGCTCTTGCCTGAGGTCACGCGTGGGTGCTGTGCACAGTCCTGCGGGATGACATTTGGGGGGACTCCGCCCCGCCAGCCCACGTGTCTGTCCCCGGATCCTGCAGGGATGGTCGGCCCCAAAGCCTTGGGAGGGTTTCTTGAGTTTTACATAATTGTCTGTCCCCGACTGGTTTTTGCTTTTTATGCTGAGTATACTGGGAGGAAGGAGATTTCCATTCCGAAAATGAAATCCTGGGTCCGGGCGTCCAGCCCGCTCTCCCT